TGCCATTTCATATAACAAGTATCACATGTGCATGTAATCACATAAATCATATCATATAACTTATATCATTTCTCATGGGTTCATATAAACATGTATATCATATCTTATTCACATATGTTCATATATATATACATCACATAGCACATAGAATAACATATAAAGTTGTCACAAAAGCATGTATTTTCATATATTAGATTCACATATCTTATATTACATGAACCTACAGTCACTTATACATGTATTCTTATGATTTCTTATGAAATCACTTATAACATATAATATATATATATATATATATAGTTCATATCATTTCTCATATTTTCACATATGTTCATGTCATTTAACCTATCATTTATATCTATACCACCTAGTTTATATCATTTTATCTTGTTATCACATAAGTCCTTGCTATTTTACATAGTTCGTGATCATATAGTCACTTATATCAATACCACATATAATAACATACATTAATTTCTATGTACTAATGCACACATAATAATCACATAACATTTTAGAAGTTACTTATCACCATAGTAACTCCATCACTGGCTCATCGCAAGCCAATGTTCGTTCTATAAGCACAAATTAAATTGCACTCACCTTAGTCTTGCTTGCTTTGATTAAATCCTAATTCTTTTATTGTTCCGGAACTTGTTTAGGCTCAATATCTACATAAATATAATTTTCAAAACAATTATCATAAGCCTAAACCTTAAACTTGATGTTAATAACTTAAACTAGTTTAATGAACCAAAATTTCATTTTTTTATTTGTACCCCCTGCATAATTTGGAATTTTTGCCCAGAAATCATTGTTCATGCACGAAAATTCACTATTTCCACTATAATTCTTTATGTTTCATTCCCTTTCATATTCTTAACTCAAATATACATACTTAAACTAATTTCTACTCATTTGTCTCATCTTAAACCTCAAAATCTTCTCCTTTTTATGAACTTCAATAATCATACTCAATTTTCAACATGTTTCAAATCCAATTCTAACACTTAATACTTCTTAATTAAGTTGATGACAAGTCAAATTTAACTTCAAATTCAATCTATCAACTCTATTTCAAGATTTCATTCGAGAACTCAAAATCTTTAATCTCTCATATACCTTTCATCTTGTTATTTTAGAACAAATTAAACTTTCCTTAAGCTTAATTATCATCTAATAATCATAACTCAATCTTAAAAATAACAAATAATTAGCTAATTCGAAAACTTACCTTTGCTTGTATGCTTCACGGTGAAGAAGGGGAAGAAGATGAGAGAAATGTCTGGAAACATTTGTTTCCCACATTTCTATTCCACGTGGGTTATAAGATAACCCCAAATATTATTTTATTCTTTTATTTATTCAATGACCATTTTGTCCTTTATTTCCTTTGATAATTACTAAAAACTTTCAGGATATACTTTCAAATAAATTATTGAACCTTTCAACTTTTCCACTTTAATCACCAAATTCTGAAATTTTACAATTTAGTCACTGACCCATAGTTTGAGATGTTACACTTTATATATTCAAATCTACGTCTATGATTTATTTCTTTGGATTGATCCTATCTTTGCAGTCATTTCAGAACTTGCTTGTGCTCGATATCTACACAATCATACATTTTTAAGGTAATTATCAGATATATACACCTTGTAATTTGATGCTAATAACTTAAAAGAATTTAATAGACCCTTATCCATTTTTTTCCTTTAGGGGGTATCGATACCCTCCCTAAGGTATCAATACCCTTATTACATTCTGGAATTTTTGTTCAAGAGGGTATTGGTACACATACATAGGGTACCTATACACTTTGCCCAAAACAGACTTTTTCACCCAAAAATTCATTCTTTTCAGCTTAAATTCTTCATGTTTCCTTCCCTTTTCTGTTCTTAACTCAAATACATATACTTAAACTAATTTCTACTCATTCAATACATCCTTAACCTCAAAATTTCATCTTTCATATAGAAATCAATAATCATACCAAATTTTCAAGATACTCTAAATGTAATTCTATCACTTCATATCTCTTAATTAAGTTGATGACAAGTCAAATTTAGTTTCAAATTTAACTTATCAACTCTTTTCCAGAAATTCACTTAAAAACCCATTCTCTTTAATCTTTCATAACTTCTTCATCTTTTGGTTTTAAGTCAACTTAAGCTTTCCTTAAGCTTAAGTATCACTTAAGGATCAAAACTCATACTTAAAATCAACAAATAATCAACTAATCAGAAAACTTACCTTTGCTTGGAGTGCTTCATGTCGGAGAAGAAGAAAGAAGATGAAGAAGAAGTGGAGAAATATCTCCTTATCCTTATCCTCCCATACATATATATCCTTATCATATCCTATTTTTAATTCATTTCCAGGTCAAATGACCATTTTACCCTTTAATTCCTTTGATAATTACTAACAACTTTCAGGAAATATTTCCAAATAAATCATTGAACTACTGAACTATTCTACTTTAATCACATTTACTATATCACGCCATTGTTCACATATAAATTGTTATATTAACATTGTGAACTATTATATCAATACTATAAATTGTTACATCAATATGATAGTAATCAATAATAATTTTCATCGATGGAATGTCGCATTGATTAATTTTATGATTTAAAATTAAAAAAATCTCAAACAAAAATAAATATTATTTTTTATAACGAAAATAGGAAAACACGTTACTTATTTTTCTACCATGAAAACATGACAAATAAAATAAAAAATTATATTTTTAAGAATTCAAACTCAGATTAAAATTGATATTTAAGAATTATTGAAATATATAAGTATTTATTATCAAATGATTAACAACCTTTCAAAATGTTATTACTTTATAATTATCTCAAATTAATCATAAAAAAATTATTGATTTTTTTTCATCATGTATATATAGATTTGAGTCTAAATCAATTCATTGAATTTAAAAATTAACATTTTCAATTTTATAAACTATGTTTAGAAGAAAAAAAAAATTATTTTATGTAAATCATTTTAAAAAGTTTTAACTAAACATGTTTTTTCTTCATTATTTTCTATTTAATAAATAAAACGAATATTGTATGTTTCCCGAAACTAAATACAATATATTGTTCTACTTATTAAATTATGAAAGAGATTTCTCATGTATCTAGATTGCATCAAATGATTTTTTTTCCTCGATTAGAAAAGGAAAAACAATGTTTGGAGATTTATGCATAATATTTTAGATTTTTTTTATGTATGTTATATTGATAATTTGTTTTTATCTTCTTAAAATTTTAAAGTAAAATATATAAATAATCTCTTCCTATTAAAAATTACAAAATGATCTCTTAGTTATAAGATGATGTTTTTCTAGTCCCCGATTATTAAAAGTTACAATATTATCACCCGACTATTCATGTGTTCTAAACTTGTCATTTTCTGTTAAAAAATAGCAATTGTTTGAGTTGGATGTTAACATGTTGACTGATATATGATAAAACCTGATCCCAAAACAATTGAGTTGTATTTTACGGATCAACTCTTCATTTATATTATGTTGTTGAACTAATGCTTGAAACATTATGTTGTCGAGCTAATGCTTAAAAGCAACGATGATGTCAGTAAACATCATTAAAATACTATTTTATCATATCCCAGTCAACAGGTTAACGTCCAACTCAAACAACCGTTAACTTTTTAACGGAAAAGGATGAGATTGAAACAATGAATAGTCGGATGACCATTTTGTAACTTTTAATAGTAAGGGACTAAACAAAATAACTTCTTATAATTGAGGGATCATTTTGTAACTTTTAATAGTCGGGAAACTCAGTAAAGCATCATCCCATAGCCGAAGAACTCAATAAAACAATATCGTATAATCAGAGAACCATCTGTGTACTTTACTCAAAATTTTATAAATTTATCTCCTTCTAAAATTTTAAAAATTCATTCTTTTAACATAAAATCTTACGCCACCTCTCCCCCCACAAACCAACATCATCTCCCCCCAAACATCAACTTCAACCATGAAATGAATGGATGATGATGACCTAATTGCCGTCCTTAAGTAAAATATGGATCAAATTAATAATAAAAGACAATTAGTTCCACATTATATTAACTTGTATTTTTCTCTTTGTAAATTAAGTCATTCTAACTTTACTCTGTTCAACAAGTTTAATTTGTTTCCCCTGTAACATCATACAAGTACAACACCATATATGTTTGGACTATTCCCACACACCTAATATTTATGCCAATGTACATGTCAAAAAATTTTAAAGTTGTACCCTTTCACTTTTTTAAGCAAATTTTATATTTCTTTTTTTAAAAATCAGTATTAAAAATAAATAAATAAATAAATAAATAAGAATATAATGACTAAATTCGTATAGTATAGAGCTAAGAAAAGAATGGTATGTCTCCTGAAATTTTAGGAAGCTTATATTTTGATCACTAAACCTTTAAAACTTGCAACTATATTGTAAGTTTTATAAGTTTGGAGACCAAAATGAAAGCATTCTAAATGTTAAGAGTACATTTATGTAGTTTATCCTAAAATTATTTAACCAAACCAAAATATTTGACTTCTTCAAAGCTGCCGTCAACGATGTTGATCGTCCGATTAGATAACTTCAGTCCATACAAGTTGAGTTTAAGATATATTTAGATTGATTTAATCTTTTCTAAATTAATTCAATATAATCCTAAATCAAGCTTTTATAAATAATAATTGAAAATTGAATCAATAAAATGACCGATTCAATTATCAATTACATAAATTAATTACTGTGATAAAGTAGTATCTATTAGAAAGACTCTTATCATTTAATAATAAACGCTCAAACATTGTGCTCGAACCTAAGACCTATAAGAATAGCAAAAATTCATTAATCACTAAAATCACTTAGTTTATACCTACTGTCGGATAAAATTTTGTTCAGTACTATTTTTAAGTTGGTACATAGTTTATTTATCAATTTATATATTGTCTTACAATTGGCGTGTGAAGATGGTTTTTGTGATCACATTAATCATTGCTTCGCTGTGAGGTTCGACAACAATGAAGGTCAATAATTTCCTTCCCTTTCATCTTATTTTCCTCCCAGTTTTTCTTACCAAGATATTCGAGTTTATTTATGTTTCTGTCTGATTCTTGTTTGGTTTCATTTTCTGTTATAGAAAGTTGTCTTGAAATTGGATGTACATGATGGCAAAGATAAACAGAAAGCCATGAAAGCTGTTTCAGGTCTCTCGGGTACCCACTTAAAAACATCTTTTTGTTCTGTAATATTTGTTTAATACCAAGAACTTGTCTTCTTCAACTTCTGCAACTTTTTTTTCCTCGGTAGGTGTTGATTGTAACATCCTTAATACTGGGTTAGTGATTAGATTGTAAGATTTCGGAATTTGGTGATTAAAGTAGAATAATTGAATAGTTCGATGACTTATTTGAGAACAATTCCAAAAGGGTTATTAGTAATTATTAAGGGTGTGTTTGATTCACGAAATATAAGATTACCAGTAAGAATAAAAGATTAACAGGGAATATGATTACTGGGAATGTTACATTACTGTGTTTGGTTGGTTTGACAGGAATGTAAGATTGCATTGTTTGGTTGAAGGAATAAAAGATTATTGGAATGTAGATTTTACCAAATTGTCCTTGGTCTATATTTTTTAACAAGTGAAATTTTAAATATTTAAATAAAATTATTTATATAAAAATTCTACCTGTTGATAATATATTACTTGAGTATTTAAATATATCATGTATTATTTTTATTTTAATTAATATTAAACTTTACATAATTTATGTAAAAATATATTTAAATTTTACATCAACATTTTACTAAATGTTTACATTGTGGAAACTAGCTTCGGTTCATACGTGACGCATTCACTTGGAGGTTTCTTGTATTTTTCAATCGACAAGGTTTACATTATTCTATATACAATAATTTATCATATATATTCATAATAATAAAAAGATGTAAATTATTTTTGTTATCTAAGATATAATATTTATTATATCTTCTATATACAATAATTTATTTATTTATATTTTATATTTATACTTAATTCTGCATATTTTATCATTATTATTTATCTCATGAATTTATATTACAAAAACATAATTCAAATAAGTAAGAAAAAATAACACTAAAAATCATATTGTAGCTTTTTCTTCTTTTCTTGTTTGTTCATTACCATGTTTTGTCATGTCGTGGTTACAATATGATTATTCTTTCGAGTGAATCCAAGACTTACCAGCACCAAAAAGTGATCTAAATATCAGTTTTAGATTATGGGTGTATTTTAAGATGTGAATTTTTTTGATAAGGTGATGAAAATATCATTTCTCTTCCTTCTCTCTTTTGAAGGAATCGACATGTTGCTAAAAGAAGCAACATCAATTAACTGCTAATGGTAATGGCACTGCTGTAGGTTTTTTTTGTTTCAGGGTTGAAAAGGTGAGGGTGGTTCATATATTAAAAGAGTTCATAGCTGCAGAATGTGAATTTTAGTGAGAAAAAGAAATTTCTGAAATATATAGCTTTGGCAAGCTGCCCATCACTTTCATACTGATTCCTTTGTAGGTGTGCTATGTGTCGAGATGGCCAACCTGCTTCTCATTCACCTGATTTGCGATGTTCATCTTGAGATTCTAAGTTCGAAATATGATAAAATTCACCCTTTATTGTTTAATTAATATATAGGCCTGTTTAGATGTATTCCTGTGATGAAACCTTGGCATGCAGGTGATTGCTCTGACAGAGGAATTGCTTGCAACTGCGAAGCAAAATGAGATTTCTAGATCAGATATTGGGGCTAGTATTAGTGCACCCGCTGCTCAATTGAAGGTGATTAAATTGCCTAATGAATCATAGATTTACTTCTGTAGTTACTTTTGTTTATCAGAAGCATTGCTTTATTCACAAAGGCAAGCTTCTTATTTGAAACAAGAACTTTATTTCCTCTTTTACAATTTCTGTAAATGTATATATATGGGATGTCACATATTACAGCCCTATTTTGTCACATAACCCGTCTTGCCATATGAATGTATTTAATGCAAGAAGTTACTTGAACTTTGATTGGATTCCAGGCTTACCTGGAAGTTTGGAACTACAGCGTGTTCAAGAGGACTGTTATTATCCAATATCTTGAAAACCTTTTCAGCTATGATTTTAAGAGTGTTAATGATAAGACTGTCACATTATTTGTAAGCCATATACTACAAATAACTGTTGCAGCAGAAATTAGCCACGGTAATTTTGACAAGACTATCCAAGATACCGAATAGCATATATGAGCTCATCCATACCGAATACAATTTTATAAGCTTACATTCATTGTTTAGCTTACATAACAAAAACAAGTATAACATTAACCATCAAAAGTTTGTACAATGTTCAGAATTACAAAAGATAATAGCTGAGGACATACAGGTTTTCACCTAGACTGATTTCTTCACCTGGTCCGTGCTGCAAACTTGCCAACTTCTATTATCGTAGGCCAAAGAAGCCAAAGCCCATTTAATCAAGCTTTAACTGAGGACATACCGGTTTTCATTCTTTTTTCCAATTTCAAGCAATTGTGGTTATTAAAGTGTGGCTTGCTTGAATAGAATAAACAAGAAATGATTTTAAAAAAGCATATTCATATTCATTCATACCATGCACTGCTTGTTAATTGGTTTCTTTTTTTTTCTTTTCGCATACTAAGGGGGTTTTTAGATTAATATGGATCTATATGTAATCTAGCTATGGGAAATTGAATGGCGAGCTTGTGGCAAATGCCACCTGGGCATACTTCCAGAGAGAAGAAACCAAAACTAATTGGATTCCAACAGCAAAGGCAGCAAGTGGTGGTGGTGGAGAGCCATGGCGCACATTCTATGGTTAAATGTTTTAGGTTCTTGCAGGAAGCATAAACTGAGATTGAACATGCGAGTGGGTGCATATTGTAGTAAAAACTAGGGGCCCTGTTTGTCAGATATAATACAAGATGCAGTCAGCAGTGGCTTAAAATAGTTGAAAACTAATCTTATATGTTCTATATTTGTGTGATGAATCAAACAAGCAGGAAGTTCAATTCCTGAAAGGTGTTCAACATGTTGATATATGATCTAACATGTGTCTTGAATAATTGTCCTACAGACCCCATCCATTATTTCTTTCAGGATGGGATACCTTTATACCTTTCTTTAAATTTTCAAAAGAGGTCTGAGATGACAACTAGCTGAGAATTTGAATTGTTATGTTACTGGTTATTTAGCATATTTGGTTTTATATATATATATAGGAATAACTTACAGGGCAGACAATTCTAGATGCATAATGGATACTATCCCCTAATGATGGATGCATAACTGAAACTATCCCCTAATGCATAAAGTTTAGAAGAGGTGAAGCGACTTTATTTGATATGAGGCCTCTCCAATTCTCTCTAACATATTATGCAGCATCATCCCTAGAACTAACTGAGTATGATTTACCTGGAGGCCTCAACATTAAGAAGTGTTTTTTATATAAAAAAAGAAGATTGAAGGAAGGATATGTTGCATGTCTAACTAATCAGATGATATTGTATCATCCATTCATAATAATCCTAGAAGATTATCAAGCTAATCAAAACTATGATTTGTTCCTTTATTTTTTTCTTGTTGTCCAATAACACAATTTGTAGTTTAATATAACTTATCATTGAAGAAAGTGCAAAGTAAAACTCTCACTATAATGTGACATGAAAAAAAGATAATGCCAAATGAGGCAAGCCAATCCTTTTATTCTCCTATATATATGAAACCAAATATGTTAAATAACCAGTAACATAACAATTCAAATTCTCAGCTAGTTGTCATCTCAGACCTCTTTTTCAATTCATGCATCAGCACAAGATTCTCCCGAGTAAACTATATCGATGCTGAAAATTGGAAATTATTAACTTCAGAAATCAAAGTTTAATCTTATGTGCTCTGCAAGTCCTCAGTTGGTCAAGTAAGAAATTATTCTTTTGTTTCTTATGATTAACCATGAATGTTTCACCATATTAAGATAGTAAAAAGTTAATAGAATACAAGCTACAGAAGAAAAACAATATGTTCTTAAACTAAGTAGTTATAAAAAAACTTTCTCAACAATCGCTTCTAAGGAAACAACGGAAAAATAATAGTAGTTTTAAGGCTAAAAACCAGAAATAAGCATCTATCTATTTTTTCTCAGCGAAATAAGCATCGAGTGAATCGAATTTTACACAGACTAGGATATTTGTGTCGTGAGCAACTTAAATATAGTTCAGGGAATTGCTGCAAAAGGTTAATGGTACTATTGTGTACCTCATTTTGTCCTTCCCAGCAAAAGATGCTCCATCACAGTACCGTAGCTTCACTTTGTTCCAGTTGTAGAAATCTGTGGAACACAAGAGGCCCCATTCAAAAATTCAACATAAATACTTGCTCAAAAAGAAAAGGTTAAGATGGGACTATAAGTACAAACCAGGGTTTTCTTCAGCTTTATAGCTCAAAATTCCAGTGAAATTTATTTGCTTCTCCATAAATTTTGATGAACCACGTCGAGTAGTTTTGCAGAAGACATAACTTCGAATGGAATTATACCATCCACCTCCCTAAAACAAAGCATTCATTCCGGTAAATTGATTAAAACTAGCTACAAGGAAATTAAACAACTGAAGGTTCTATCTTCTCCCTTTTCCTATCCAAATTCTCGCCGTGTAATTGAACCCAAATTCTTGAGTACAAATTACGTCTAACAATTAAAAAGAAAATTAACAAAAACCCAAACATCCAACAAATTCAGATAAGAGATGTCAAAAGTAAAAGGCAGAAAAATAGTTTATTTAGCTTAATTAACAACAAAATATAGCTTTGGAACTAATTGCATGCTGGAATTAAACTAGAAAAAAAAAGTTTCAAACTTTATTGAAATTCAACAGGAGAAAAAAGACCCAAACCTCAAAAAGTAACTTTTTTCCTCTATTTTTCTGATAGAAAAGGGAAATCAAAGAAGAAGAATGCAACAACTCTCTCTGTAAAGTTCTAAAGCAAGCTAACGGAGAGAAGCAAGCTAACGATAAGAATGTAACAACTCTCGCCAAATCGAAGAAGATGCAATGTTTTCCTTCACAGAAGCATGCTAACGGGGAAAAGGGTATTTTAGCCAATGGGGACGAGAATGTTCAAATACCTAAGGGATCTGGGGGACTAACATTCCAGTAAAACAGGAAAAAAAACTACTGTGGGTATTCAATGTTTACCCACATTTGGGAATAATAACCATCCAAACGTGGGTAAGTTAAACGGGAAAAGAAGATTCCTCCCAGGAATGTTTTAATCCGTGAACCAAATGGGGCCTAAAAAAATTAAAGGGTAAAATGGTCATTTGACAAGAAAAATATTTTGCCCTTAATAAGAATGAATCACGTGGAGGGGGAAGAGAGAGTTATCTGGAAACTCTCTTCTTCTTCTTCTTCTTCTTCTTCTCATCTCTTCTCCTCGTGTGCCCAACCTAGAGCAAAGGTGAGTTTTTTATTTAGTTGATTATTTGTTGATTTTAAGGTTAGTTTATGATCATTAGATGATAACTAAGCTTAAGGAAAGCTTAAGTTATCTTAAAATCAAAAGATGAAGAAGTTATGAGAGATTAAAAGAAGGAATTTCTAAATGAATTTCTACAAAAAAAAGTTGATAAGTTGAATTCTAAGTTAAATTTGACTTGTCATCAACCTAATTAAGGAATATGGAGTGTTAGAATTGGATTTAAAACATGTTGAAAATTTGGTATGATTCATGAAGATCATAAAGAGGAGAGGATTTTGAGGTTTAAGATGAGATAAATAAGTATAAATGAGTTTAAGCATGTATATGCGAGTTAGGAATATGAAAGGGGATGGAACATGAAGTATTGAACCTGGAAATAGTGAATTTTTGTGCTTGAATAGTGATTTATGGGCAAAACTTACAGATTTCAAAAGGGGTATCGATACCCTAGGCAAGGTACCGATACCCTATAGAGGGTACCGATACCTACTTTAAACAAGAAATGAAAATAACCTTTCTTTTAGTTTAAAAAATGAGAGATTAGAGTATATCAATTAGGATACTAATATGGATCCATGTATTATTATGTAGATATAGAACGTAAGCTTGTTCCGGAACAATAAAAAAATTAGGATCAAGTCAAAGCAAGTAAGGCTAAGGTGAGTGCAAATTAATTTGTACTTATGTTATTGAACGAACATTGGCTTGCGATGAGCCAGTGATGGAGTTACTATGGTAAGAAGTGACTCCTAAAACGTTATTTGATTTGTGATTTTTATATGTGCATGAATACATGAAAATGGGTATAGGATATTATATGTGACATGATCTACATGCTTGCATGGATATATAATATGTATTATATGTTATATGAAATGACATAGATGGTTACATATACATGGGTATGTGAAAGAATAAAAGGTATATGTGATCATAAGAGAAATGACATGAGTACATGAACATATGAAACATAAGAATAATGCCCATGGTATATGATACGAGAGCTATATGTATAGTTGGCATGCCAAGAGTCGAGGGTTCATAGGTCATTCGGGACATACAAAGGTCCTTCGGGACAAATACATAGGTCCTTCGGGACATATTTCACATGCCACTCAGTGGGACTTATACGAGCTGTGGTGACAGCAATAGTGCACAACCTCAATGTACTCAAATACCTTAAGTTCTCAGTAATGTATATGGGCCTACAAAAGGTATAAAAAGTGTTTGCATTATTATATGTTATCATGTTATTATTATTTACATGGAATCATATATGGCATGATTGAATAACTAGATGATA